GTATAAAACCAGGTCACCCTGCCAATATGTACAACCTGATGTCACTGGTATAAAACCAGGCCAACCTGTAAATCTGCACAACCTGATGACACTGGTATAAAACCACGTCAGCCTGCCAATCTGTACAACCTGGTGTCATTGGTATAAAACCAGGTCAGCCTGCCAATCTGCACAACCTGGTACATTGGTATAAAACCAGGTGAGCCTGCCAATCTGTGCAACCTGGTGTCATTGGTATACAAGAAACATGGCAATGCCATGAAACCAGGTTTTCAATTATCACCATTGTAGATAAATATGTTGTAGTTGAAATACATGTACAAATACAAGCAACAAACAATGTAACTATGTGCAATGTAAATCATGATTAATGAATTTTCTGTTTTTATTAACTGTAACCTTGACCCTAGGAGGCCAAAAAGCCATCCCAAGTGAGGTCTTCATAAAAACTTGCTTTACCACAAATTTCATAAAAATATCTTATTCCAAACAAGTTATTGACTGGAAACCTATTTTCTATTTTTAGTAACAGTGACTTGACTGGAAACAGATTTTCTATTTTTAGCAACAATGACCTTGACTCTACAGGACCCAAAAGCAGGCAGATAAGCTGGCAGGCATGCAACAACCTAGATAGTTTCTGTTTTTTAACTAAATAAAGTTTGTTGTGATTAATAGGATATATAACACTAATAATTAAATTTTATGGAAAAACAAAGGGCCATAATAAGGTAAAAGGTTAAACCTTATCCAATAATAAAACCCTGACAATACACAGCAGGGCACTTGAAGATAAAGCTAATCTGTGAAAATTTGAACAAAATCCTTTGAGAAATGTAGAAGCAGTTGGGCAACAGAAGAAAATGTTCACTATATACTCTATATAAGGGAAAAAAAACAAAGGGCCATAATTAGGTAAAAAATTATCCAATCACAAAAACCCAACAATATGCATCAGGGCACTAGATGACAAAGCTTCTGTGAAAGTTTGAACAAAATCCTTTGAGAAATGTAGAAGCAGTTGGGCAACAGAAGAAAATGTTCACTATATACTCTATATAAGGGGAAAAAAACAAAGGGCCATAATTAGGTAAAAAATTATCCAATCACAAAAACCCAACAATATGCATCAGGGCACTAGATGACAAAGCTTCTGTGAAAGTTTGAACAAAATCCTTTGAGAAATGTAGGAGGAGTTGTGCACAGAAGAAATTGTTCACTATATATTCTGTATAAGGAAAAAAAACAAAGAGCCATAATTAGGTCAAAAATTATCCAATCACAAAAACCCAACAGTATGCCTCAGGACACTTGATGACAAAGCTTCTGTGAAAGTTTGGACAAAATCCTTTGAGAAATGTAGGAGGAGTTGTGCACAGAAGAAATTGTTCACTATATATTCTGTATAAGGAAAAAAACAAGGGGCCATAATTAGGTAAAAAATTATCCAATCACAAAACCCCAATAGTATGCATCAGGACATTTGATGACAAAGCTTCTGTAAAAGTTTGAACAAAATACTTTGAGAAATTTAGGAGAAGTTGCGTACAGAAGAAATTGTTCACTATATATTCTATATAAGGGAATAAAACAAAGGGCCATAATTAGGTCAAATGTTATCCAATCACAAAACCCTGACAATATGCACCAGGGCACTTGATGACAAAGCTTCTGTGAAAGTTTGGTTAAAATCAGTTGAGAAATTTAGGAGGAGTTGCGCACAGAAGAAATTGTTTACGCCCGCCCGCCTGCCTGCCCTGCCCGCCTGCCGACATACCTAAATCTAATAACCAGATTTTTCCTTCGGAAAACCTGGTTAAAAACCAGGTCAGCCTGCCAATCTACACGACCTGATGCCACTGGTATAAAACCAGGCCAGGCTGTCAATATGTACAACCTGATGTCACTGGTATAAAACCAGGCCAACCTGTAAATCTACACAACCTGATGTCACTGGTATAAAACCATGGCAGCCTGTCAATCGGCACAGCCTGATGCTACTGCATGTTTTAAACTCTATCAATTACCAATGTGGTAATTTCCATTCATCTTTAACCAACAGTTTAAAACTGTTCAATCCCCTATCATAAGGTTTCTTGTTAAAGACAAAATCTAAATCTGTGTTAAATATAGTAAACCTGCATTTATAAGAACATTCAAACTTATTTGTTAGTTTGTTTTTCTTGTTTTTATGCCAATTTTTACACATAATTTATTATATCTCAGGCAGTTTGTCCACTAATACAGGTCTTCATGGGCTTACTAACCATTTATAACTGATATCTGAGCAAGTAACCAACAACTAATCCAACATTTTTTCTGTATCAGCAATAAGAGACAAATGATCATGTCTGAGAACGTCATACAGAAATTTTACCTTCCTCAAAAACCAGTGACCCCTGAATTACTTATATAATACTCTTCCGAGCAGATCTTATATGCTTATAAGCATAGGCTGTACTAAACTGCAAAATTTTTTTTGTATACCGGTAATTACATTTAAGTTCAGAAATCATGATCTTTTACTGAACATTATCTTAAGATTAGTGAAACTTGGTATACGCTGAGAACAATGGATAAATAATTCTAAGATTTACTTTATTTCACCATAGTTTGTTCTTTCTTTTAACTGTAATCTAAAGATTATTTTAAGTATAAGCGCACATCTTTATTTCATATCTGTTCCAAGAATATGATTACTGCCTAATTATCTTAAGCAGTGAAAAAAATCCTATAATGTGCATTAAGACTGCGTTCTTTGTAGATATAGATAATTAATACCATATTTTATGCAGACAGGAGCAAAACAATGGGAAAAACATATTATTATATTTACATGAATAACTGGCAAGAAGTTTGTATAAACTGGCATTTTAGCAGATTACTTAAATAATGACAACATATTTTTTCCATTTTCTAATTTTGTATCATCTATAAAAGGAAACAATGACGTCATCTGTTGCATTGCTTTGCATATCTTTTGTTATTATATATAATGTAATAGTAACAATGGAGTTAATTCTTTATTACAGTGTAACTTCTGAAAACCGAACACCCATGGGACTTGTCAAAAAGTTCGGATTTCAGAGGTTTCCGGAATTCAGAGGTTTATGATAATGCGCACAAGACTAAGGCACTTAATATCACTAAAAGTCAAGGAAGAAGTGGCCTTTACTGTAATATCATATATAATAGTCTTTTAATCAAGATAAAGATGTGATTGAAAATAATACATTTTCATCTTACTTGCAAATGCTTTTGAATTTCTATCAGTTTGTAGAAATGTTGTTTATTGCATAAACTTACATATCGTCCGATGCTAGTTAATTAATTATTACATCAAATGCAATAAAATCCCTAAAGACTTTTGATGCATACATTGTCCAATTAATTGTCATTTAATCCGCTAGTAAACACTTCAAATTAACTGACCGCCGTAAATTACTTTGATTAACCGCATCACTTTCACACGTGTCAAATTACACGATCACCGCTAATTAGTAAGCAATCGACAGGGAGATTAAATCTTCCTGCAGGGTTTACAATGTATTTCACACCTTTGGATATTTCCGGTTTTTAGAGGTAAAATTGCATTGATTTGACTCTAATTTTACGAAAATATCGTCCGGAATTCAGAATTTAGAAGTTCCGGAATTCAGAAGTATTATATTAATAGAAAAAAGAAGGGAAAAAATCGGGACCGAAAAAATTGTTCGGATTTCAGAAGTTCCGGAATTCGGAAGTTACACTGTACATGTTTGTTACTGATTATGAATATAGATGGCCTTTAATTATGTTAAAGTGTTTTCTTCTCAACATAGAGGGGCGAGATCCCTTTCAACATAGAGGGGCGAGATCCCTTTCAACATAGAGGGGCGAGATCCCTTTCAATATAGAGGGGCGAGATTCCTTTCAACATAGAGGGGCGAGATTCCTTTCAACATAGAGGGGCGAGATCTCTTTCAACATAGAGGGGCGAGATCTCTTTCAACATAGAGGGGCGAGATTCCTTTCAACATAGAGGGGTGAGATCCCTTTCAACATAGAGGGGCGAGATCTCTTTCAACATAGAGGGGCGAGATTCCTTTCAACATAGAGGGGCGAGATTCCTTTCAACATAGAGGGGCGAGATCTCTTTCAACATAGAGGGGCAAGATTCCTTTCAACATAGAGGGGCGAGATCCCTTTCAACATAGAGGGGCGAGATCCCTTTCAACATAGAGGGGCGAGATCTCTTTCAACATAGAGGGGCAAGATTCCTTTCAACATAGAGGGGTGAGATCTCTTTCAACATAGAGGGGCGAGATTCCTTTCAACATAGAGGGGCGATATTCCTTTCAACATAGAGGGGCTAGATTCCTCTCAACATAGAGGGGCGTGATGTTCTGGCTGTACTGGAATTGTTAAACAGCAGCAGATCTGCTTCCTTCAAGGAAGTTGATAAAGGTTTCACATAAGTTCTATTATTTATAAGTACAACTTAACTAAGACAACAGTGCCACAAAGGCCAGGCAGTATTTGTCAACTGAATGAGTTATCAAACAACAGGAGAAACCCATACATGAATCTTGTTCAAAACATGTTTTATACAAATTATTCTTATAATACTAAGTGACACTTAGGGTGGATGCATTTCTGACCCTTGGGATGTGATTCATTTTTTTTTTTTTTACCTTATCGGCATGATTCATATTTTTTTACCCTAAGAATTATGATTCATTTGATTATAGTTTTTGTAGATATTGCTACTTGCTGAATATATCACATCTTACAGTGGTCCTCCATTGATGGTGGCCAATGACCATCTTTGTAAAGAAATATTTAAATTCTTTCATGTGTGTAGAAGATTATGCTCCAAACAAAACTGGAAGCTGCCAGCACTCCACCTGCACGCCTATCAGAGGTGACTACATTATAATATGACTTGATTCTTTTCTAACAGTCATTTAATAATATGTCATTTAAACAGTAAAATTAAAACAACATAATTATAATCATACCTCTGTACTATTGACCATATGATCAGCAGGACAAAATCGATGTCTATGAAATGTAACAGTTGCCTCTTCGCTGTTGATGGCTTTAACAAAGTATGATATGTCCAACATTGGGTTTACCTGACGACAACATTTTAACAAAGCTTCCAACTGTCGTTGTTGTTCACTGGCCTGAAATAAAAGAACAAAAATTAAGATTTCGTACAAGATGAATGAAACAAAATCAGCAAAAACAGAAAAGCAATAAAAGTCATTGATATGAAGTAGTTAGCTCCCTTTACACGACTTAGACTGAAGAATTAATTTCCAGTTTGCTCCCTTTATCAAGTTGGCTTATCAATACAGAAGCTGCTAGTTTCATTAAAATGGTCTACAGTATTGAAACATTTATCTCTCAATTTATATCTGGGAGCTGATTACTTTAAAAATTAAGGCAAATTAAAAGGAAGCTAAAATTGCATGTTATCTGTTTTAATGGCTCTTTACATACAACTTACTTCCATACTGCACTGAAGATCTGTTAAACCTTCATACTGGAAAGCAAAATAAGCTATATCCCATGATACTGAGGGTCAAACACATATTTGCAGCTTCATTCAAAGAGAGAACTTACTGCTTTACATTGAGGAAATATCAAGCCTCCTATATCTAGTGGCAATTTTCTAACTAATTGTTTGTACAAGCCATTTCCTAAAACAATAATTTAATAATTTAATGCATAATTTAAAAAGTATAATGAAAACTACACTTAAACTTCGTTTGCTCGAATTCGGAGCGCTTGAATAACTCCCTTCGCTTGAACTCATCGCCTAGTCCCGGCAAAATTCCTATATAATAATATTGTTCTACAAACCAATCACTAAAACTTTCGAAACCTTAGGCAGAAATATAGTGAAAATTACACTTCCTTAGTAAAAGAGTGACAGTCGGCGACACATGTTTTGAACACCTCGTGATCATGATAAAGACAATAATTTATTAAGGTTACAAAATCAGAGGTATTGTTCCGCATGGAAGATCGGGAAACCGAATGTGTTATGCCTTATTAAATAAAGTCATTCCTTACTTCCTAATAATAAATGCAAAGTAAAGAGAGCTAACTGCTTCAATATTGATGGCCATGCAAATAAAGCTAACTGTCCCCTTACCCAGGGAGCTAAATGTTTTAAACTGATGGTCAGGTATACAGAAAACTATTTAAAACGATTTTCTTAATGTGAGCTCTCTTGGCATAAAATTAAGCATCTGTAACTGTCATTGTTTTGTATAACTTTGATCACTTTGCTTTCACTTCTTAACAAATAAAATCTCAATTTTGTTTTTTCTGTCAAAGGGAGGCAATCACATGCAAAATAAGATAGCAGTAAACAAAGAGTTGTTTTTCTTGCAAATATTCTGAAAATAAATAATTAATTAAATATCCAGCTCACCAGTACTTTGCTTACTTAATTAAAGCATCTATAAACATTTTGTTTCTTTAAATATATCACAATTTACTGTAAGGCTTTACAAAAGCTACAATAACAATTTCAACTAGAATGAAAACTAGTTCCCTGAAATCCAATATTATGTGTGGTATAAATTATGTGTGGTATGACAATACAGATTTAATTGGAAGACATTTTAATAAATAATGAGCTAACTTATCTTGCTGGTTTACTGTATGTTAGTGCCAGGAGTTATATTTACACACACTTAGATTTGAATTATTTTCATGCACGAGATATATCAGATTTTCTATGTATATTATGATATAACTATTAATATAATATAACTTTGTATAATTATATGATGTAATTATGTATTTATGATATAATTATGTATGTATAATAGAACTATTTATATATGATTAAACTATATATAAAGTAGAACTTCTATGAGTCAAACTTCGATTAGTCAATTTTCTCGATGAGTCGAAGTAAAATGAAAGTCCCAATTTTCCCCCATTTATATTCCTTATAAAATCATTTAAATGAAATGAAATTTGATGTGTCGAATTTTACAATGTGTTGAAGTTTTTTCTTGGTCAGTATAGAATGAATCAAGAAAATTTACCACATTTAAGTCGAAGTCCTTCGATTATTTTATGAATGTAAGATATATCTATGCATACATGATATTACTATGAATATATTATATAACTATGTATATCTGATATAACTATGTATATAGTATATATTTATGTAAAATTTCTATTGTAATCCAGTCATCTGGTAATTATTTTAAACAGATCTATGCATATCTAAGACCTAGTTGTAGTAAATTCCCTTGAAAAAAGCAGTCTAGAAATGAAAAGCTAAAGCAGATGGACTGCCTAAAGCAAATGAATCTATCAAAGCAATTATCGAAAGTAATTTGTCACTATAAAGAGTGTATGCTTTTTATTCATAAGCAGCTATATAGAAATCTCTGGACAGAATTGATATTGATAAAAAAATAACTCTCTACAGTACTGTGATTTGGTGTACCCAGTAGAACAGGATAATAAATCTAAAATAATGCACATCTTTATGGAGATTTTTATATTACATGACATTTTGTTATTTAATCCATGTAACAAAATAAATTGGGATTACTAAATATCTGCCAATAATACAGTCACTGCTGGTTGCTCAACTTTTTTTAAATCCTACTTTTATAAGAAGCAGAAGGAATTCTTGTAACACTTTTATACTAAGTCTTATTGGGAATAAAAGACTTAAATTCTTTGTTAAAACAAGGAATTTTTGTGTCAGTGGTATCTTTGTAAGGGGGCAGGGGACCTAAAAATGAAAAATTTTGTATTTCAGTGTGACCAGAAACACAATTCCAAATATTTCAAAATCTGTTTCACAGGCAGATAACCAGTTGCACAGCATTATTCAATGATATATGACATACATTGAAGAAAATAATAGTTTGCATGCATTGCTCCTTCAAAAAATGACTGACAGCAATTTATGTTTACCCCTACCCAGCCAAAATCACACCTAAAATATACCAATATAGGCAATCTTCATGAAGGTGCAGCATACTCCAGAATCCACCCGATCCCTTTAAAAATATCAGTAACACGCAGTGCAAGCTATGGCATTTTCAGAAATGACAAATAAAGTGTCTGTCATACGTTTAGATTTTTCACAAAATTTATCTGAAATTTCTTACTTGTTTGGCGCCAACTGTCAAAGCTTGATTTTTAACTTTTTCACCTCCATTCGGAGAGTCAGAAATACATACAAAGCTACCAAAATGCTTAGTTTCGGGTAAAAACCCAAAAATATATCTCATTTCCTACACACAAGCAAGAAAGAATTACAATGACAGAGAAATATCAGAAGTTATCAGTACCTTCAAAACACCATGTCTGAGTTATCAAAAAATTTGACCGGGGCCATCATTCGAATATGTCCCCTGCCCCCTAAGGCAGAAGGATTCTTGCATTAGTTTTACCTTTGCCAGAAATTTATGAATTTCATGTATTAACTGGTATCGGATTTCTTTGGGTAAAGAATAGGGTAAAGAATAGAAAGGGTTCTTTCAATAAGCCCCTGGGAGATATTATGGCATCTTTCACAATCTTTTGTCCCTAAAGCAAAGATTTCTCTTGTCAGAAAAAGGAATCCTACAGTAAAAACATAGTAAGGGATTCTTTCATGAACCTTACCTTTGTGACAAATTCCTGAACATGTCTTAGGTCTTTGTCAGAAAAAAAAAAGGATTTCTCAGATAAGTTTTACTTCTAAGAATCCTTGGGTAACAAACAGTAAGGAATTTTGTCATCAATCTTTCAGGAAAACTTTTGAAATTCTTGAATAAGTCTTATTTTTGTCAGAAAAATGAAAAAAGTTTATATCAAGCTTACCATTGTCAAATAAACTTTGAAATCCTAGTTTCAGTCTTACCTTTGTCAGAAAAGGGAGATATTTTTCTTTCAGTCTTACTTTTGTCAGAAAACTTTTGAAATCCTTGTATCAGTCTTACCTTTGTCAGAAAAAGAAAGATTTTCTTCCATCAGTCTTACCTTTGTTAGAAAAAGAGAGATTTTCTTCTTCAGTCTTACCTTTGTTAGAAAAAGAGAGATTTTCTTCTTCAGTCTTACCTTTGTTAGAAAAAGAGAGATTTTCTTTTATCAGTCTTACCTTTGTTAGAAAAAGAGAGATTTTCTTCTTCAGTCTTACCTTTGTTAGAAAAAGAGATTTTCTTCTTCAGTCTTACCTTTGTTAGAAAAAGTGAGATTTTCTTCTATCAGTCTTACCTTTGTTAGAAAACTTTTGAAACCCTTGTATCAGTCTTACCTTTATCAAAAAAAGGAAGATATTTTTCTATCAGTCTTACCTTTGTGAGAAGAAGCAAGGAATGGCTCTCTATGGCAACATTTACAGTATTACTTGTGTCAATATAAATTTCATCAAGCTCCTGAAATTAGAAGAGATATCAGACTGAAATTTAAACATCAACATCATGTCTCCTTCTAATTCATGCTGATCAAATTGACAGAAATGATGAAATTGAAGGAAATTATACAACAAAATGTCTATTTGTAGCGTTATACTTTTTCCTCTCTCACTCTCTGGTAATATTCCTATAATATAGAAATACAAATTGTCTCACAATTCTTGTTTAAGAGACACTTGGAGGAAATTCTCTATTAACAGCAGACGGCAATTACCGCCACATAAAAACGGCAGGACTACAGCACTGTCACAATAATAATAGCAATATTGGTAATGAAGACAGACTGCCTTCTAGAAAAATTGTCAACTTTACGGCATTCTAATGACATAAAAACTCCTGATATCTCTATAAGAACAGTTATTACAGGCTATGTTTAATGTCCCCCTCATATCTGTAATAGCAATTATATCTGAACATCTTTCTGCTGCTCGAATGTAGGCGTCTGCCTGTATGTGTGAAATCAAGAGCCGAAACAAATTAAATGTTCACACCTCCAAAACTGCATCATATATAATGAGTTATTTCAAATTGATTTCAAACACAAAAACAAAATAACTCTTTTGTATATTGTAATGAGTTAAAGCTATATATTTTCTGAATGCTCAATGCAAGTTTTGTTTTTGTTTGAATTTTGAAAAGAATAATTCCTAAAAAATTGTTTGAAAGAAATATGCTTGTAGCAAATGGCACATGTATAAAATCATATTTTATTACATGCTTTTCGATGGTTTATAGAAATATATCAGTGAATTAAAACTGATAATTTCACTGTTTGAAACAGTGAAATTATCAATTAGAAAATTTCACTGTTTTGAATTTAAACCCCTTACTTTGTTTCAGTGGAATACCAGCGTACACAGAACTGGAAACCAACTTAATAACGTGACGTCGTTAATGACGTCATGTTGTATAATTATTTGGCGCGCTATTCATTTAGTATTAGGTAAAAATGTCCTTTTTAACATTTGTTTGCATATAATAAAAAGAAAATTTGTTTAGTTTAGTGTAAGATCGAAATATATTTCACCTCGTGAACACCAAAATTTCACATTTCATACCTTTTGGTGCTCACTCGGTGAAATATATTCCGATCTTACACTGAACTTTACAAATATCCTCTATATAATCCACTATAAGATTATGGAAACATCATAATTTTATAGTTTTAGATTTAAAAAAAATCATTGAATATGACTTTGTAACCTTTAAATAAATCTTTTTGAAAAGAAAAACACTGTAAACTTTAAATCCCTTAATTACTGAAATTTGTCAAAAGATATGATGTAGACAATTACTAATGGAACATGAGACCAAATGTCGACCAATCCACTTTAAAATCATTCCATAATTGATCAATATATATTTCATATTTGACCTTGAACCTTTTCGGTATGACTGACCTTGACCAAAGGGACACCAATATTGCAAACAGCACTATGCCTTACAGTGTTGAACATTGTTTCAATATTTGTTTGTTTTTGTTGCCATATATCTGGTTTTGAGAAAATGAAAATATTCTAAGTTATAAAAGGAAAGAACAACCAGCAAATTCAAATATATTTTCCTAACATCATTATATAATTCTCTAGCAAGACAGTAATAAAAACTTTCAGACCCATTTTCCTAATAAGATAAGTAAATTAGATAATGTCAATTTATAAATGATTTAGCAGCAATTATTTTCTGTAAAACATTATCAAAATGTAAATGTTTATTACAATAATCACATTACAGTTTTGCTGTCATGGAAATTTTATACTGTAGTCTAGGAAAATTTGTTAACCTTAACTCTGTTATTGCGATAATCAAATCTTGTTTTGTTTGTTATGTAATAGAAAGAGCATCCAAACACAAGGCTATCTGATTTGTATGAGGGGACATAGCCATTGAGTATAAATCAGATTGCTGTGTGTTTTGATGTCCTTTCTCTTTTGTATCATAGGCAAAATTATGATACTCAGAATAAATTAACCTAATAATGTGCGCCTCTGACTTTATCCCTTCCCTGTCATCATAATAAGTAAACCCCAGAAAAAATGTAGCCAATAAACAAGCATGCTCTATTTTTATTCTCGTCAGACAGTGAAGTAACTTGAGTGTGGCCAACTAATACCTGTACTCCCCTTAACTCACTGTGCTTTTATGGGTATAATATGTAAATCTGACAACTCTTCAATAGAAAGGTCTCCAAACTATGATACAAGTAGATCAATGATAACATTCAGAGACTAAAAGTTCTCCAGAATTATATATCTAGGTCAATATGTAATTACAGTTCTTCATCAGACATCCTCACAAATTTACAGAACTAAACTAAGATGCCCCCCACCCCCCAGTTTTCCTACCCAATAACAGGACTTAGAGGTCCAAAAGCCAAAAACAAAAAGTTTGAATTTTTTCACAGATAAGTTAGAAAAGCAGAAAATATGCAATAGATCGATATATTTAGAAATAAACTAAGAAATAAATTAAAAATCGTATTTCTGTGATAGTGTTAGTCCGATTTGAATGAAAAACATTACAACACTTTTCAATTTTGGGTCTTATTTCACAATTAGAATAATTATTCTGGAAAAACAGAGATAGTGAGGGATGTTGCACGTATTCATTATCCCTCATGTACAGACTCAATCAAACCGCGTCTGCAATTCTCTTGTAATTTTGTTGTGATTAATGCTTCCGAGGGATCACTTTGTTTCCAGATTTTTATACTTCACAACAGCAGGTGTCAAGTGCTGTGTGGCAGCTATAAAAAGTTGCCCCGTACTTCACTTCAGTGTTGTTATATTTTTCTGGTCCTTCGGGATCATTGATGCCAGCACTATTAAGTGTTGAGAATTGAGTACCGCTCAAGCAAGTGCTTGGGGGCGTGAGGGATGTTGCACGTATTCATTATCCCTCATGTACAGACTTAATCAAACCGAGTCTGCAATTCTCTTGCAATTTTGTTGTGATTAATGCTTCCGAGGGATCACTTTGTTTCCAGATTTTTTTTTGATTTTTTTTTAGCAAATGGTCTGAAATTTTGCACACAAGAAATTGTTCTAGACCAACATCAAATGGAACATTAATCTCAAAAAATTGTTGACGTCATGTCCAAAAACCTCAGTGGAGTCCCTTTAATTAAGTAGCCTAAAGATAACATAACTACTCTACTATAGTGTTTGATGTACATTTTTTTTATGTAACAAGCTGAGACCCCCCAATTTTGACAAACATGAAAGTAATAACAGGAAATTAATGTAACCTCAACATTAAAAGAGGACACTTTGTATTCATGAAATTCAATGCAAGGATTGATTGAATCTTGTTTATAGAGAAATTGTCTGCCAAATAAATACATACTGTGGACTTGTGAAACATTAGTTTCCAAATAGGACCAACATTTTAGAAAAGTTTACATCCCAGTAAAATAATTTATGAGAACTGTTTACTAAATCACAAGCTAGTATTTAAGAATTACAACATGTCTTTTATTTAACTTGTATATGTTTCCTAATGAAGAGCAAAAATAAAGAACTTTCATTTAAACACCAAGTGTTTTATAAATGTGACATAATTCTGTTTTTCCCCGTATAAAACAAGATATCCATCAAACATGTACACAACTGTACTACCATAGAAAACAATAGAAAATAATCACACTTTGTGATTGAAGTATGTAGTAAAATGATGAATAAATAGCTTTTATGCAAAATATATTGATATTTAAAGACAAATTTATGCTTCCAAAATATGCACTTTTGTCTTTCAAGACATCTATCAATAAATAAAGGCTGTATAGATAAAGTCTGTATAAACAAAATTAAACATTTTAATTTCAGCACCAGTGAAACTTTATCCCATATGGCCCAAACTCTACCCTAAAGTTAGAGGATGACCTACATCAATGAATGACTAAGAAAGCTGTTTGACCAAAACTATAAAATCCTTTTCTAGCATTCAATTCTATATATATAATCAATTACCCAGGTATCTCACAGAAAATCCTATAAATATCAATTGGAATGTTATCGTTAACATTCAATTGATATACTTAACAGTTTCCATAATTAAATATTGGACCAAGACCATTATAATAGTCAATCCTTTTAAATACATAGCCAATGCAGTTCGACTTGACAATGAAAAAATTAGCATAATATCACTTTGATTAAACTTAGGAGACCACCAAAGTATGTACTGCCCAAGGCACGTACCACTGTCAGAGGTATGTACCTGCCATACATGAAAGTTACTGGCCAATTAATGAAGCTGCTTGAGGAAACCAGAAAATGCTACAGAATTAAAGAACTGGGACAGAGCAGTGACTATATGCCCCCTAATAATGTACCAAGTTGGGTTACAATCCATCCATTTTTGCAAAAGATGGTAATATAAAAGCTCTAGCTAGCCATACTTGCAATTAGCATGATATTTCAGCCAGCTATGCTTGCAATAAGTATATTTTAGCTAGCCATGCTTGCAATTAGTATGATATTTCAGCTAGCCATGCTTGCAATTAGTATGATATTTTAGCAAGCAATCCTTGCAATTAGTATGATATTTCAGCTAGCCATGCTTGCATGTGGCATTTTTGCATTTGGCAAGGTATTTGAACTAGCCATGCTTGCATTTGTCATGTTTGCATTTGGCAAGGTATTTCAACTAGCCATACTTGCATTTGGCATGTTTACATTTGGCAAGGAACTTGAACTAGCCATGCTTGCATTTTGGCATGTTTGTATTTGGTAAAATATTTCAACGAGCAATGCTTGCATTTGGCTTGTTTACATTTGTCAAAGTATTTCAACTAGCCATGCATGCATTTGGCATGTTTGCATTCGGCAAGGTATTTGAACTAGCCATGCTTGTATTTGGCATGTTAACATTTGGCAAAGTATTTCAACTAGCCATGCTTGCATTTGGCATGTTTATTTTTGGCAAGGTATTTGAACTAGCCATGCTTGCATTTGGCATAT